AAAAGATATGGTCCTTCTATTCAATATTAAAAAATTAAATATTCAAATTGTTCTTTTTTACATTACAGGAATTGATAAGAACTAAGAAATAAATATGGGAACCGGATTCGATATATATATATATATATATATTTATTGTTGTCATCAAATAAAATTATAAATGTAAGTGTTATTTAGACAAGGTACATGCTTGTTTCCATCACGCATGCATATGTTTTTATTTTGGCAAAAGTCAACATGAACTTGGTAAAATATCTCTCTCTTTTATTTCATTCACAATTTTAAGTGGAAATATAAATTAGAAAACTAAATTTATAAATAATATAATTTTTTTAGATATCATTAATTAATTTGTTTCTAAATATGTAAATATCACATAATTTCAAAAAATGTTTACATGGAATAATAAAATATTGCATCTGTGTGTATGATCTGGTCTCGAGACGTTCTCGTAAAGATTTTATTCCTTAAGACAATTGGTTGACGTCTCCGCTCTAAATTCCTAGCTGAGCCTCTTGTTCCTCTCGATCTACTCGGTGGTTTTTTTGTTAACCAAAAACCAATTCCTCTGGAATCGAATATTTGCGTGAATCGATTGGGGACCTTGAATCCTCGATCGTTCGCCAGGGCAAAGGGACTCCTCTTGACTTTGCATGCTCCTAAGCTTCTAAATGAGGGGTTCCTGGTTCCGTAAGACGTTCTCACAAACAATAAGAGGACGAGTTTCCCTGAGCGATTTCGTTGTTGGTGTTTGTTTGTTTTTTCGTGTAATATTTTCTCCTATTTTTGTTCAGTTCGATTGTGGGTTGGACTTGCTTTTGTTTTCTGCATCTTTCTACTTCTGTCCCTCCATGACTGTGTAACTTTTGCTGCTCTTTTTAATATATTTTGTTGTTTTTCAAAGTATTTTGCTCTTGTTATATTTGTTTTCAAAAACTTTTTGACATCAATTAATATCTATACTATATTATTAAAACATTTGATAAAAACTCTTAGAAATTATTTTTATACATAAGGTATTATTTATTGACGCAAATTACTTAAAATTGAATATTACAATTAAATTGTGCATAAATATAACTTATTAAAACTCCATGTTTGAATTTGTGTAACTAATTGTAGATAAATCTAATCAAATACAGAATAAACAGTTCATTTTGAATATAAAAAATAAAAAATATAATTAAGATAATTATTTTGATTTCTAACAGAATACTTAATTATTATCTTCATAAAAATTATATTATTAAATAAAAAAC